CATCACCCTCAGCCCTTGCCCTTCCTAACCCATCCCATCCCATCCCACCCTGGGTTTAGGGATCTACCCCTTCCCAGGTGGGTCTGACCCCTCCTGCAGTGACACACTGCAAGTCCCTCTGGGCAAAACCACCCCCAAGAGCTGCGACGAGAGGCTGTGCTTCTCCTCTCCCTTCTGCAAACCTAATGGGCTCGATCTAACAAATGCAATTAGTCCAAGTGTGTTTATGCTCATTAGAGCCACACAGGGCTGGTGTCGGGGTGTGTGGGGCAGGCAGCAGGGTGGCAGGCGGGGAGCAACATCTCGCCTCCGCTTTCCTCGGGTGCGCCACCCCTCCTCGGGCTCGGCAGCTGCTGCTGGTGCCGCCGTGGGGGAGCTGAAGCTCGGGGAGGTGAGGATGAAACGGAGCAAGCCTTGGAGATGGAGGAGAGCCAGCGAGGTGCGGTGACAGCTGAGCGTCACCCGGCTTGGCGCGCCGCGTGGGAGAGGCATCGTGGGAGCGGCAGTTGGCTCGCTCCTTTGCAGCGATACTGATGTTTTTTTCTTTTCAGACAGACACAGAAAGAAATGAGGAGGTGAGAGGTGAGCCCGCTGGTGAAGAAAAGTCTCCCCAGAGGTGGGCAGCATTTGCCACTCACCGAGATGCTCTTAACACGTGCAGAAAACTGAAATACCTGCGTGGTGTCTGTGCCAGGCTTGGTGGTGATGGGTTTCTTTGCAAAACCCACGCTGCTGCCTTACTCTTCGTCCTGGAGATGACCTAGGGCTAAGGAGCCTCAAACCACTGCCATCTGCTTGGCTGGGAAATCATTTGCCCATGAAGACCCTACAAAACCAGAGTGAAAGCTCAGGATGTGATAAATTTGGTAGGAGCAGAACATCTTTCTGGAAAGCAGCGGGAAGGGGAGGTGCATTCGAGGGATGGATATGGGGGGTTGCTTTGCTTTTCTGCAGCTGGGCTTGAAGAGAGATCTACTGCTCTCCATCACCTGGTCCTTGGCCTCCCACCATGGCAAGGATGGGGCTCAGATCTTCAGAATCTCCCCAAAACAGCCCCAGATGAGGCCGTTCCTTGTCTGGGCTATGGACCAGACCACAGTAGACCAGATCCTCTGCTGGGTGTGCTGGCGGTGGCATGCTTTGCTTTTCTGCAGCTGGGCTTGAAGAGAGATCTACTGCTCTCCATCACCTGGTCCTTGGCCTCCCACCATGGCAAGGATGGGGCTCAGATCTTCAGAATCTCCCCAAACCAGCCCCAGATGAGGCCGTTCCTTGTCTGGGCTATGGACCAGACCACAGTAGACCAGATCCTCTGCTGGGTGTGCTGGCGGTGGCACGGGGGAGAACCAGTACTCACCAGGGTTGGGAGAAGAAGGAAAGGGAGAAGAAAGGAGAAGAAGGATGGGAGAAGAAGGGGGAGAAAGGATGGATGCCAAAGCTAGATGTGTCTCTCAATTTCGGAGTGATGGTGGCTTTGAGCAAGGACCAATGAGCCTGACCCCCCTGCCAGAGCTGGCACATCCTATGGGAACAGAAAGCTGCAGCTTCTGGGGTTTTTTTGGGGTTTCACCCCAAGAGGCTTCACTTTCCCTCGCTGACAGGCACCAAAGCTCCTGCCAAACCCCATGCCCCGGCTGGAAGACCCCCCTAAACCTTCTGGGAACAGGATCCAGCTGCAGCCAGGATGGAAACCCACCTCCCCGGGGGCCGGCGCGCCACAGAGCATCATCTCCAAAGCCTTGAAACAAATCCAAAATTTTATTTCCAATGAGTATACAGACCGTGTGTGATGGGGATGCGCTACATCACAACGCCGACCTCCCCGCGCTAGCTTTCTGCTACAACCAAAACCAACCTCCCCAAAAGCCTGGTGGCAGCAGGTTGGCACTGCGGGGGTGGGCTCGTCCCCTCCACCAGGAACCTTGGCAGGAAAAAAAACTTAAAAAATAAAATAAAGTCC